GACGGCGAGAGGAAGCCGGAGTACCCGGAGGGAACCCACGCAAACGCGGGGAGAACATGCAAACTCCACACAGAAAGACCCCGGCCTGATGGTGGAATTGAACTCAGGACCTTCTTGCTGTGCGGCAACAGTGCTAACCACCGTGCCACCGTGCTGCCATGTGGTTAAAAACATAAAAACAAAAAAACAAGATCACGTTCTTTTCCTGTCAAATTTACACTGTCCATTAACATTACAGACAGGCAGAACTTATGTTTGCTGCCTAGCTCCAACATTAACATGATCATTTTATTATTAGCCATAACCTCTACCTTACAGAAATGGCTATTGCTAATTGTTAAAAAGCTAATGTTAGCATGTGTTCCAGCCAGGTTAATATTCATTACTGTTTTAAAAAAAAAAAATCTTGCTGGAACAGGAGCTTTACTTACCTCACAAAAATATTCCTAAAGACCAGGGTGTCTGTCTTACATTTCCTTTGCCAGGGTTGTGGTGCTACTGTTTACATCTTCAGCTGCTAATGAGGGGAGGGCCTTTCTGCCCATCAATCTGCAGCCATCCTGTGCAAAGCTATCTGCCAACTGTAGGAAGTGAAGACGGCACTGCTGGTGTCAATAGTGAAATATTTAGTGATCTGTCAAGAGACCTAAAAACAAAACAGTCAAAGAAACAGGTTAAAATGACAAGCTTTATTTCATGACTTTTGAACTTTAAAATTGGGTCATCAGATGGATTCCTATTTAATTCTGTAGCCTAAAAATGCACACGCCAACCTTAAAATGATTGCAAATACATCAAATGTACATATCACTGCAAAACCTACAATGTATGCAAACACATAATAAAATCACTCTTACAAACCCACAAGGTAAAATTGAGGCCCATTATAAATTTCCAGACAGAGACCTCACCCAACCACATATGCATTAGGATTTAATTCAGTTCAACTGAATTTTATTTATATACCATCAAACCACAACAGCAGTTACTTCAAGTCACTTGTAAGGTAAAGACCCTACAATAATAGAGAGAAAACCCTAGAAAAGATCGAACAACTCACCCCATCTCTCTTTGCCTTCATTGGCAGCAGCCCTAAACAGCTGCAAACAACCTCGTTCACCTTGAGGTAAGTGCAGATACACCATATAATGTTCTGTGCCTTGCTTACACACACGTCAAATGCCCATTGTTTGCTTCTGTCAAGTCCCACAGTCTGACCGCCTGTGATATCAGTCATTCCTGTTGGACGAGTGACAATGAGTTCAGAGTTCATTCCAGTCACATATAATGCAGTTGCAAATGGACGTCTAATCCAAAAGTAATTTTTAGTATCAGTATCTAAGTATCAATTTCGTTTATAACCCAACTTGGTTGGTATGCCGCTTAGGTAACTACTGTACTGAAAAAAAAAGTAGCTTTTTCAGTTTTATACAAAAATTACTTGTAAGTATCAGTTCTGGCAATATCCCCATTCTAGACCATGAGCTGATATAAATGCCTTTGTACAGCTTCAGACTTTTAGAAGTTCTAGTATACAAAATATAATATAATATACTGCTTCTCCAGATAAAAACTAGCAGACATGCTCATTTTCTAAACCATTGCTAGTCTACTATTCCACCAACTTTTTTTGATTTGATTAATTTATGATGAATTGACAGTGCTTCAGCCTTTGAAGTTCTGCTCAATTTGCCACCAGCGTCTCTTGTTCTCATAAATCCAGAGTCTGTTCTGGGGCAGCCAAGGAAAAGACCCCATGATTAATCGTCATTAGTGGCCTGTTGAGGGCACACGTTGGTGAGATCCAATTTTCAGCTTGTTCCTCGTTCTGCCTCAGAGGTTTCCCTTAGTATGTGGATATTTTGAACTTTCACCCCAGAGTTTTAGCAAATAAGACTTGCTTTTCAGAGACACTTAGGGGTGTAGCAGAATTACAGATGAAAGTTTTAGACACATAAGGACATAGAAGAAGCGCTCGGCACTCATCCTGCTTTGTTCAGTTACAGTTTCATGGCTAAAAGTAAAGAAGGTTTTTTTCCCCTTCAGTCTGTTTACATTTGCAGCTGTCCCATAACATGCTTTTTACACCTTTTTTAAAAAAAAATTTCTTTCCCACGCAATGCTTCCCTTGCGTCACATTTTTTCCCTATTACTGAATCTTCGTTATTCGCTGTTTTAACTTGTCAATATGGTCACCGTTTCGTAACTCTGCCTAAGGCTGAGAGCATTATTTTAAACCTCAGGTAGTGTAGGCTGAACAATTGTCATGCCATAATGAGCCAGTGATTCATTTCAAACTTTGAGGTGGAGGATTTGGGGAGTTTACGGTGGGTGCGGGGGGCAGCGGCTACGCTCTCTGAAGGCCCTTTCATCTTTCATGTTGGGCAGCATCATAGTTTAAATAATAAGGTGACTACATTGATTGAACTTCAGACAATCTGACATGAACTCTTTTAGTTTTTAGTCTAATGGATTTAATGAAGGTGTTCAATGAAGGATGATGACAGCACTGTGAGGCGAAATGTTTCCAGGGTATGCCAGTAATAATATTTGTGTTTACACTGATTCTGTTTGTCCTCTTTAGACTGAGCTGTGCGAACAAAGCAGATCGGAATATTTTTCCAGTGTGGGAGAAACCCAAGAGCCTTTAAACAGCCCCACAAAAACAAAGAAGACTGTGCTTCAAAAGATGTAAGTATGATCTAATGCAGAACTTTCCAACCCCACCAGTCAGAGAGGACACTCAAGTATCTGTTTATATCCTTTATACCCATTTTTTTTTCTTTCTCAGAGCCAAACAAGCCAGTGTCCAGCAAGACCTTTGTGGTTCCACTATGGCAGAGCAGCAGATTGACCAGAGAGTCTGTGCTGAAAACCAGAAACCGGAACTTCAAGTTGTCAAGTCAGAATCAGGCTCAGTGAGTCTGTCCAGATCTGAACAGAAGGTCCTGTCAGAGGCAAACCACAAGGTGCCTTGCTCCAGTGCATTAACTGTAGCAGGAGCTCTAATTGGGACTACTCAAAAGCAGGAGCGGCATGCTGAGAACGATCTTCCAGACTGTATCAACCTAAATGGGACCTCAGCAGGTTTCTGCCAAAATGAAATCAGTCAGGAGACCAGCACGAGCAAGAGGTGCAAGCTGAGTGATGCTGGGGAAGACCCTCACCCACACGGGGCCAAGAGGACGTGCCTTGGAAGACCTCCAGCCCTAATGCAAACTTACTCTGCACAAACATCCAAGCACGACCTCCTTCCTCTGCCACCCCTCCCTCCACTTGAAGCCAAGGCAGAGTCCCAGGCTTCCCCTGTCTCAGAGTGCAAGAAAACCACACTGGAAGTAGAGCTGCTTACTCCAGGGAAACAAGCCCAAAGGCTCTCCCTCACAAGCAATAACACGGCACAGACAAACCAAAACAGGCTGGCCGCAAGTCTGAGGAGCCTATCTGTCAAGCCTGCATCCTCAGGCTCCTCTATTGGTTCCAGATCCACACTCGGAGAGGAGTGGAGTGAAAATGTGCCCAGAACCTCTAGATTACGACGACTGAAGAGGTCCTGAGGGGGAGAGAGAGACAGGCTACAGTAAAGATGCCTGACGCCACAGAAATAGAGATGAGACTCTGTCAGACTACATGCTTCCCCCATACTGTCCATGTGGTCTGCTCAGATGACTTGCATTTGTGCTTGTGTCACTTTTTACTGCGATATCTGTTCTTTTCACATATGCTGCACACGCACAGATCAAATGCTGAACACATTATGGCAACTGATACATGTGCATTTGAGTTATGCTTTGTCAAATACTTGAAACGGATCTCTGCCTCCACCCATAAGTAGTGGTGGTCAAGAACAGCTCGCAAATGAAAGTCAAAAACCTTTAATTGGAGTTAAGATTTGGTTTTGTGTTAAAGATTGGGGATTTCAGACAGGCAGGAGCCATGCAGTACGTCATGGCTTTCAGACTCAAATACTGGCTCCTACGTGTCTCAAAACTGTCCAGTTTACCCGCCGAAGCTCGAGCATGATTGATTGCTGTTTCCAGGTTTATTTCATCACCCCATTCTCAAAAAAAGTGTTTTTGTAGCTAGATATTTTTCATATACCAGTTAGTTGCTAAGCACCTGAAAACAAATCTATAAGTGGAAACATACTGTGCTGCTTTTTTTTTTTTTAACCTAAACCAACTAAATGCAGGAACGTGATCAGTTTTCAAATCAGAGGTTGAACAACAGCTGCTGTCACCAGCCGTAAAGCTCCATTTACAACCCAGTATTTCTATTTCACAACAAAATGTTGACTGAAAATTTTACTCCTGTTTTATTTTACTGGAAAGACATTTCGATATAAATAAATTTTTCCCTCAGTCAAAACAAAACAAAAAAAAGCCCCATTTGAATCATTGTGTAAAATTCACAGAGAATTTTGGGAAAGCAGCCGGCACAGATCTCATTGCATTGTTTTCCTCTCACAGAGTCCAAACCAAATGCTGCTTGTGGCAGTTCGACAGTGGGGTCTGTCCAAAAAATGGAAAAAAAGTATTAGTGGTTACAACCTGAGTGTCACCACTAGGAGCCAGTTCAGCTATCAGCTATTAGTCCCAACATGTTGAGGATCTTTCTCAAGGGGTGTTGTAATCTCTCGTCTTTGTTTTAATTCTGGCAAGAAGAGTTTGCCCAAAAAAATAAAGAACATAATAAATCACTTTTACTCCACAGCTTAGGCTTCTCCAGCCCAACTTTGTTTTTTTTTTGTTTTTTAAACTTGCTACAGTATCTTAACCAGACCATAAAGGGCTACAATATCTGAGCGTTATGAGTACTGCGTCTCCAGGACTCGACTAGGAAACCATTAGCTGTAGTTCCCACGCCACGAGAGATCTTTAATATGCTCCAACACGTTTGGCTCAATGCATCAGACTCGTCACTCTCTCTCCAGAACAGAGACAACTTTAATTCTCGTTTCATACAAAATATTTAATAAATATGACTTTCAAAAATATATTGCCAGATCAACACAGAATTCTCAAGTTCATAACACAAAGTCAAAAAAAAGAAAAGGGACAAAGTGTTGCCACGATCTCAAAGGGTTAACAAATGAGATAAAACATGTTTGTCTTTAAGAGCCTCAATTTTTAAAAAGAAACAAAATGTGCACAGAAACAAAGCGGACTCTTGCAGAGCAAGGCAGTGTATTTATCTGATACTACAGTGTTCCCATTGCTCCCCTACTGTTCAAGTACTCACAGTCTAGCTTATGATATTATGCTGACTAAAGCAGATGGGAATTCTGGCGTGTCATACTGATGTGACTTGCCTCGCAACTTGGTTGATTTCGACAGCCTTTGAAATACGTCTGGGTTCAACTGAAGCTGCTGAAGAATTTTTGTTCCCTTAAGTATTTATCCATTAGTGGCAAGCAATGTGTCTGCCACCATGTCCAACCCTTGCAGCAGCCGTGATCTTTTGTTGTCCTAACCTCACTTGTCTACAATTAAGGTCCTGGCAACAAATAATGAAATGTCCAACGTGTGTATGGGAGGGAAACAAAAATGAAGTGTTTCTTTCAGGGCCAAAGCACCCATCTTTTGTCTTCTCTGAAATTTGGCTTTTATTGAATGCATTGGAAACAAAGCAAAACAAAAAAAACCTTGAAAGAAATGGTAGGCTTCCACAGCTATCAAAAGCTTCAAACTAAACTGGAACGTATAAATAAAAAGGAATGATATCTTAAGGCTCTTGATTATTAAGTTAATAAATCAAATATACACAATGATTAATAAAAAAAAAAATGTACATATCTACACGTTCTAAATTGTCACATAAATTCTTCATATTGACAGCAACTGCTGACATCGAACCCCTTTCATCTCCCTCCCCACCCAACCCTAAAAATAAAAATAAATAATAAAGTTGATCTTTTTTTTTTTTTGTCTCATTTGACAGTTGCTGAAGTCTAAAGCTGAAAAAGCACTTTCTCCAAATAGAACTAGAAAAAATTCAAACACATACTAAAAATAATTAGCTCTAGTGTTGAACACGTCGGGTAGTTTAAACTCATTGTACAACAATTACACCAGGAGCCCCTTAAATGTGTCCGCTAAAAAAAGAAAGAAAAGGAAACGGGGAAATGAAATGCATAGGAGGACACGTTTGCAACTAGTTCTACAGTGAAATGTATACCAGTGCTTTGTGTTTCCAGCCAACCAAAGCAACTGTCACTGCCAGTGTAAGCCAGCTTGTCAAAACTTAAATTAGCACGGGGAAATATCTGAAAATACTGAGGGGGAGGAGGGGGGGTCACAACTGACATGACTATTTACACATGCCAAAGCTCCCCCAGTTTCACCCACCACCTGGGTGTGAAGGCGTAAGGCTAGGTTGCACAGCAACACAGCTGTCTGCTATACAATGTAGTCCATCCTGTTTATGCTGTTTGCTGTCTCCAAGTCTCTATTGTCCTGTTTGTTAGTCCAATTAGCGTGCTTGGATGTCGAGTTGGGATTGGAGATGGTCGCCTTCTCGTCCCTCTCCACCAGTGTGTATGCTGGCTGTTTGGCAAAGCGGCCCTTCTGCAAGTGCCTCTCCTTGTCGTCCTCATCTCCCTCGGGATGATTTGTCCTTATTTTGGCAATGATGGAGTTCTTATTTTCATAGTCTTTAATGGCCACTGTGAGGCCCACGTGCTTCTCTATAGGGTTCTTGATCTGGTTAAGCTGCTCCCGCACGTTGTTGGTCGTGTTGTCCTCTGAGCTGGTCGCTGATGTCCCGTTGTGGTTGCTCTGTTTCCGCCGCCGGCGCATGCACCACAGCAAAATGGAGACCAGCACGAGGACCCAGATGACAATGAAAATGGAGCTGAGAAGGGGCACTAGGTAATCTGGTAGAAGAAAACAATGACAAGTCAGAAAGAGACCACAAATAAAAAAGAATTGACTCAAACGGTGAATAGTAGGATTTCTGTATTAATGCATCAAGCTAGCTCAGTCATTAATGCGCTTTTGCCAGAACAACCTGACCTCCAAGCCTGGAGCTGAAGAGGAGGCTGCTTCTACTTGGCTGTATCAGCAGTCTGCTGTCACCGTACTGATGAATGGTGAACACAAGTGGGAGTCTGACTAAAAGTCCAGCCAGTTGTACCGTGAGCCAATCTAAAGCCATGTAGCCAAGCAGCTCTGCTCTTTCCATTGAAGATCCTGGCTAGATTCTTTTTAAGCTCCATCACAACTGCCATGAGTCGTGTGGGAGGTTAAGGAATCAGTTTACATATACATGGAATGTTTTTTCTTTGGTGTGCAGCTATGTTGTCACTTTTAGGGCTTGGCTCTATCTCATGATCTGATCTTTAGAGAGAAAAAAAATTGAAAAAAATCCTCCCACCCATTTCAGCACATGCAGGTGTGTGCAAGTGTGGAAAACTTCATAATCAAACAAATAGTTTCAGTTCATACCAGTTTTGCTGGGGCTTGGCACACGCACTTCTGCGATGGCGGAGATGATCGTGTTGTTCCCGTTATGCTTGCTAACCAGGTCAATTATCCTTTCTGTGATCTTTTTAACGGGGCTCCCGTCCAAGCGGTGGTCGTCAGTCGACTGAAGGCAAAGAATAAAGCGAGGTGTGAAATTTAAGTGTTTAGTTGTTGTAAACTGAAGCCACAGAAACTCAACCCTACGTCCATAACACATCCTACCGCAGCTGCAAGAACTCTACGATGCAGGTTATGAATCAAAAGCATTTTTTTGTGTGTGTGCTTTAATGGAAGCAGTCAAACATGGCAGAGTGAGTGGAAGGAAGTACTCACGATGCAGACGTGGATCTCGTTGCTGGCTGAGAATGAGGGGTCACAGGTTATGGACACAGAATGCTCCAAGGAGAAATTCTTGACCACGTATAAGCTCCTCAGCTGCTTACATACTCCTTCCACAGTCAAGCCCTGGACCTGAAGGGAATGAAGCAAATGTTAACAAACACAGGGAAAAAAAAAAAGGGAGGAAAAAAGGGCAATCAAGAAGAAGAAGAAAAAAAAAAAAAGAGCCAAGGCTGCATTTTGGCAGCATGTTCCAACATCCTATCCACCTAATTTAGATTAAAGACCGCAAACTCATATGCTTGTCACTATCTGCTGTCATGCTTGTTAGGCAACTGGCAAGTGATCATTCTATGTGGTGACAGAGTCGCCAGTGGTCCTGTTCAGCTCAAAATCCATATCATCCTGAAATTAATCTCCCCATGTGGTTGGTTTAAGATTGGGATTGGCAGAAGCTAAAAAGTCATGAATGCCTCAGTCTCAGGAACAAAACTTGTATGCAGACAAGGCTCCGAGAGAAATATTCCCCCCACTCCTTCATGGAGCACATTTAAATACATGGCTGAATTGTTAAGGAGTCTTTCTGCCCTGGAGGAATGGGTAATCTTTCACAGTTTGCTGCTCCCATTCATTTAAGACTGCTGGTGGAGGGGAGGGATGGAAAACGAGCCCAAAACCTGTTAAATTCAATCTCTTCCTCCCTGGTGCCTAGGTAACTCACTCGAGGCATGATCTCCTTGTTGAAGGTGAAGGTGATGTTGGCGCAGCTGTTGTCCTGGTAAGTGGAGCTGGGGTGGCATTTGGTGGGGGGCTGGGGAGGGTCGGAGTGCCAGCACTCTCCCAGCTCAATGCAGGGCTTCACAAAGCAGTGGCCCTCCCTGAGGGGGATGCAGCTCTGGCCTGACGGGCACTCGCCTCGGCCCTTGGCACCCAGTTTGCATGACATCGGGCCACACCACATCTGGAGAGGAAAAACACAGGAGCATTGATACATTTATATTACACTGAGTACGCTATACAGTAGAAAACACTTTCAAACTGTCACTGCCGTATCCCCAGATACATCTGCATTACTGTGGAGAGATTTGTATTTCATTTACTACTCTGGGTCTCCAGAGGATGAGTCACACTGTACGAATGTCTAAAAACAAAAAACTGGACCAGTGGTAACAGCTGTCCAAAGATTGATTTGTCTCCACTGCATGTCAGAGATCGTTATGTATCACAAACAAACAATACTGTGATGTCAGGCCAAGTTTTAAATCCATCTCCCAGATCTTTTTCAATCCTACGATGCATTTTCTTGCCGAGGTGAGCTCCACTAGTAAGCCAGCAATGTTCATCTAGCGGTTAGACAGCCATGACGATGACAGCACTACTGTCTAACTCACCCAATCGTCCCTTAGTGGGAACCGGTGTGTGTGTGTTCGTGTTCTAATCAACTAACTGCATCACGAAATTGGCACTCCCGAGCCAACTCCACCCAGTGACACATAATGTCGTGGCCCTGCCTACACCTTCTCATGGAAAACAAGGCACCAAACATCAATGCGATCCATTTTGTGCAGTTCTCCGCAGCACTTCTTCCATTCGGAAGCATGACATAGACTTCACAGGTGTGTCGAGCATTCATAAATACTTTACCTTTGTGCACACAACTTTCCCATTGGAACAGTGGCAAGTGTTGCAGTCTTCATCCCATTTCACTCCATCAGGGGTGACGTGTCCATTAACGGAGCAAGGTTTTCTTGTAACTGTGTAAAAGCAGTCACATTGTTAGAAATATTTTCAATTATTTTTTTTTTCCCCTTCATTTTCATATTTGTTGGGGGTTGTTTTCCCCATCGTGTGGAGGCTGCTACCTTCTTGGCAGTGGGATCCAGTCCTGTCTGGTGGGCATAGGCAGCGATATCCATTGATCTCATCCACGCAGGTGGAGCCCAAGGCACATGGAGAGGACTGGCACTCATTAATATCTGCCACAGAGGAGAGAAGCCAGGGGTAAGAATTGGTTCCTTTGTGGCATAAAGAGCACAGCAACACAGCATTCAAATATTTCAC